ACAGAGAAAGGTGGAGCCCCCATGTTTCCCTAGTCAAAGAACCTTCAGAGGAATGGTTATCACTAGGAAAATGGGTAACGCAGGGTAAGAACATCACTGACTGGCAGAGTGCACCAAATGGGGATCAGTATAGCCACTCCACTGGGAGATACAGAAGAAAGTTGAATTGGAGAGCAAAAACCCAACCCGGGGTCCACCTAGAGACACGTTTTGACAAATGACAGGAAGATATTTTCTTAACTCAGGAACAGGAAGATGAGTTAGCAGCAATCCCGTTCAATTTATGGTCACAAGGACCTGCCGATGTGGGGCTAATTAAGGGAGTAGCTCCAGTGCAAGTGGTTCCTCGATCCGATCACAGGCCATACCAAAAGCAATATCCTATAAGCCAGAAGCAATAAAAGGGATAACACCCACATTTGAGCATTTACTTAAGGGAGGGGTGCTAATTCCTGGAGATGAGGCACAATGCAACTCTCCAGTATTTCCTGTTAAAAAAGCGACACCCAGCGCCAACTGGAGGATGGTCATGGACTTGCAGGGGGTTAATAAAAATATAATTCCCAGAGCTCCATGTGTACCAGATCCACATACTTTGCTGAGCCAATTGAAACCAGAGAACTCCTATTTCACGGTGATTGATTTAGCTAATGCTTTCTTTAGTATCCCAGTTCATCCAAATAGTCAGGGGTGGTTTGGCTTTACATTCCAGGGAAGGAAATGGACTTACGCTATGATGCCACAAGGCTACTCGGAAAGTCCTACAATCTTTTCCCAGGCTATAACTAGGAATTTGGGAAAGTTTGAACCTCAGGAAGGAAGTCAAATTTTAATTTATGTAGATGATATTCTATTGGCTAATCCCACTCAAGAGGGATGTAAGAAAGATACACTCCAATTGTTAACCTTTATGGCAGAACAGGGACAAAGTTAGCAAAAGGAAACTTCAGCTCTGGCAGAGCGAGGTGATTTACTTAGGACATACAATAACTCAGGAGGGGCGAACGTTAAACTCATCCAGGAAAACTGCTATACTTGGAGCACCAAAACTGTTAAACAAGAAACAAATGATGAACTTTTTGGGAATGATAAACTACTGTAGAGCGTGGGTACCCCATTATGCACTGCATACAGGTAAATAAAGTGATCTTATCTATGGGAAGGCAATGGCAGCCCATGATAAAGTAATTTGGAACTCTGAGGTGGAGGAACAATTCATAGAGGTAAAAAAAAGTAGCTCACTTCCCAAACAGTCTTAGCTTTTGATGAGGGAGATTGTTTTAGTGGACTATGAGATAAAACTGGGTTAATCACGAACATAGAGTTAGAATTATTTTTTGCTAGGCAAATAACTGAATTGGGTCATTTCACTGTGTGTGTATGTTTGAAAGATTTAAGTATGGATCTGTCATGTCCAACCATCAGTCTTCAGGTCAAGCCCGGGAGAGCCGGGGTTGAACAGAGTTTAAACTAAACATGAGTGTTTTTACAAGATAAGGGATTGATTGATTGTATTACTAAGGATAATTTACCAATATTACCTAAGTGATTGTTTAGAGATGTGGAAATATTGACACATGGGCAGAGACATGTGTCAACAGGGGGGTGATGGTAGATGGTAGGATTAAAGATAACTAGATGGAGGAGAGGACTAAATACTTTTTTTTAAAATATTTGGATACAGTCTAGAAAGAAAATACTAATATGAACGGTATGATTAGAGAGGGGTTAAGGAAAACACACAGGAGTGCAGGAAGAAATTGGGTACAATGTCTACCGATAGTATTAATGATGATCATGATAACTCCAGATAAAGAAGGGTTATTGCCATTTGAGAAAGTATTTGGTAGACCATATAGAATGCCCAAGTTAGGAGGACCAGAGCAGGTAGAGAGAGACTGAGAGCACTCTAGCCGAACACATGAGAAGGTTGTTTATTAACCACACCCATATGTCAAAGGTTTTGTGCCCCACAGGTGAACTAAAGGAGAAGGTGACCCACTCTTTCCAACCAGGTGACTGGTGTGGATCCCTAAAGAAGAAAGACTGGAAGCAGGCCTGTTGGGAAGGGCCCTATCAGGTTATATTAGTCACCGCCTTTGCCATTAGAATGCAGTGGGTCCACGTTACCCACTGCAAAAAGGTAAGAACACATACAAGCACCACTGAACACACGCAGAATTAGCGAAAAGAACTGGACCAATAGGGTCCGGGGAACACCTCTGATAACGAAGATCTCCTACCCCGACCTATCATCACTGTAGTGTGTTCTTAGGGTGTGAGTATGGGGTGGTACCAAGCAGAAAGACTAAGGGCAGGAGAGGGTTGGTGGTTTTTGGGAATATGGGTAACCCTGAGCTGCATTATAGTCTCGGCAATGGTCCTGATATGTCAAGATCCACCACCACCCGCACCAATTACGCTATGCCCTTACCATTGTTAAGAAGTAAAAGAGAAGCGACCCGACATACTGACCGTCAGGGACGAGTAACCTACAAAATAGGAGTCAGAGGGCAGACTGTAGGATTCAAAATAAGGGTTAGGGACGTAGCCAACGGGTGGGGTACATGTCAACAAGCAACAGAATGGAATAATACCCCATCATATTTGTGTTCGGGCCCCACAGCGGATTGTTCTTGGACTCAAGTGTTTAAACACACTTGGGGACGGGGATATGAGACCGGCCGGGACTGGACATCCAGATGGGGGTTAAAGAGAAACAAAGACATCACAAATTGTCAATTGGAAATAGTAGTAATGTGACTGACTTAGGTTCGGAAGCACAGGAGAGAATTCTGAACCTTACAGCCCCTGTAACCGATGGGTGGTGGGCGTGTACCAGTAAAGGCCGTATAAGGCAGACAAGGCCAAAAGGGTGGGTAGGTACCTGCGCCCCGGTTCTACTGGTTCAGCCAGTTAGAATTAGTGACCGGAAACCAAGGAAAGGGTTAAACAGACGTAGGAGGAGTTTTGACCAGAAGGAGAATAGCACTATTTGGATGGATACAATTGGGATACCAAGGGGGTTACCGGGTGAATATAAAGCTATGAATCAAGTAGGGGAAGGATTTACTACAACGTTCTTTTGGTGGGTAACAATCAATAAAAATGTGGATTGGATTAATTATATATATATTACAGCCAACAACGGTTTGTGAACCAGACTAGAGATGCAGTGAGGGGAATCTCAGATCAATTATCCGCCACCTCGCTCATGACTTGGCAAAATAGGTTGGCTCTAGATATGTTGCTGGTAGAAAAGGGTGTCTGTAGAATGTTGGCCATTGTTGCACATTTATCCCCAACAACACAGCACCAGACGGTGCTGTGGCAAGAGCTCTGATGGGGTTAACAGCTTTAAGCAAGGAGTGGGCTGAGAATTCTGGAATCAATACCTCTGTGACCGGATGGTTTGATGAAATGTTTGGGAAATGGAAAACCATAGAAGCCACAATTTTGGGGGCAGTTATTGCCTGTATGGGTATGCTTGTATTGTGTGTTTGTTGTCTTATTCCCTGTGTCCGAGGGTTGGTGAGTCAGGCGTTGGAGAATGCAGTGTCTCAACAGATGATGAGATATAAACCGACTCCGGACTCTGACCAGTGGAATGTGAAATGCGATCCTCCAGGCTTGGTGGATAACAAGGACTTTGACTCTGATAACCTGCAATTAGTTACAACTTTCATTGGTTCTGACGTGTTAATTTTTTTTAGAAAAATCTAAAAAAGAACACCTATGATTGGAAAGTAGTTAATATAACTAATCTCTGAGGTTAATTATGCTTGTAAATACATTTATCCTGAGGGTGTAAAAATTTTGTCAAAGGGTGGATTGATAGATATAATGACTAAAAAGATTCCACCCCAATACTGTATAAATGTGTAAACTGTGTTAAGAGTTATAAGACAATGAACCCACTAACAGAGAAGGGGGTTAGAAACTGCTGAGACACACATTCCAGGAGAAAGGAAACCTAGAAACTGTCAAACTTAACCATTCTATACTGTGGAAAGTCACAGGCCGCCTAAAGGTGGGCGGAGCAAAGTTCCTTTGTGTGAAGGCATATAAAAAGTGTTTTTAGCGCCAGAGCGCTCTCTGAATAAAAATTGCTGATTTCTTGCAGACTGGAGAATGTAATTCTGACTTAACTAGAGTCTTACAACCTCTGGGAATTATTCAAAGCTTAGTATTAGAGATAAAAATTCTCATGACAGTAGGTCTAAAATCTTGTCCCTGACATTCTTGGAGAGCTCTTTGGTCTTGGCCATGGTGGAGAGTTTGGAATCTGATTGATTGATTGCTTCTGTGGACAGCTGTCTTTTATACAGGTAACAAACTGAGATTAGGAGCACTCCCTTTAAGAGATCTTTCTGATTGAGAGGGGGTCAAATACTTATTTCCCTCATTAAAATACAAATCAATTTCTAACATTTTGTACATGCGTTTTTCTGTTTTTTTGTTGTTGTTATTCTGTCTCTCACTGTTCAAATAAACCTACCATTAAAATTATAGACTGATCATTTCTTTGTCAGTGGGCAAACGTACAAAATCAGCAGGGGATCAAATACTTTTTTCCCTCACTGTACGACTGGACCATGATGCTTTGAAAGTGATTCTTCCTCAGGGATCTTGTTCATTCTTTGGTAAAACTGCACCACACACATTGAGCCTTGTATCCTTTCAGATTAAGACATTAGCAACATTTTCCTAACACTTAAATTTCTCAGATGTATCTTTTTATGTAATCTGAAGGCCCTATTTGTTGCAGAAAAGATGGCAATGGCTGGAACGCGTGTAGACTTAGACTACCACCAGACGTGCATTCTGCGATTGCACTACGCTGAAGAGAAAGCCAGGACGCCCAAAAGAGACATGGAGAACAATAGAAAAGAAGATGGCGTGTGGCCTGACCTGGGGAACCCTCACCAAGAAGGCTGCCGACTGGAAGCAGTGCACTCACTTGTGGATGCCTCATGTGCCTCAATATTTAAGTAAGTATGTGTATTTATTGCATTTTCATTAGCACACTTCACATGAAAAATAAATGATTGGAACTGGATACTGAAAAAGGCCGTACACTATAAGCAGTCAAAAGCAGCACTGTAATGTACTGAGACAGAACCTAGTAGGCATAAAAGGCATGGCTTTGAACGTCTGTAAAGCTTGTATACTAGGGTTTGTGTCTAACAGATTCCAGAGGGATGTTTTTTTTTATGTCCGTGTGTGTGGTATGACTCAAGTTAAATCATCTTCCTAAGAATGGCTCAAAAGATTCCAGAATCCAGTCCATCCTCTTTGCATGATATGGCAGGGTTGTAGTCTTATATGGGCAAGATCTTCCATAGCAGTTATTGGTCAAGACACTTGGTCAAGCCTTATCCATTGAGATTCAGTCCCTTTCCTGAATTATCTACTGAACCAGTGATTCCCCTGGTCCGTTTCCATTCAGAGTGCTCTGTTATGGGCTTGGAGATGGTGTTCAGGGGCAGCCCTGCCTTAGGCCCTCTGATATGTGGGCCCCCAGTTGGGGGGTCCAGGGAACCACCACACTCTGCATGGTGACCAACAGCCGCCCCGTCCCTGCCTCCTCTGGACCTGCCAGCATGTACTCCACACCTGGAAGAAGAGGGAGAGGAGAGAGAGTTCAGCCTCAATCCTGTTTAGAATAACTTATATCAGAGTGAACAGAGTAGCTACCAACCTTGTGGAAAAATAAGGACGATATTTAGAACATTACTGAATATAGTAGCACAATACTCTGTTCTGTTTGGTGATGTATATGTTGGGCTACCTGGATTAAGGATGGGGCAGGTGCACCCCCGGCTAGTCCAGGATATGGGGTAGAGACTGTGTGTGCCCTGGGAGAGGGGCACCTGTCCTGACCGCAGGACCTTGCGAACTTTGACCTGTACCTCTGCGTGGCTCCCCTTGTCATGAGCAGACAACACACTGGCTTTGATCACTGCCACAGACACACATGGAGACATACATCACTGGGGACCCTACCTCTTTAAGGAATAGCTGAAATAGTATAAAGTAATCCTTCTTCCCCCACCCCCCATAAAACAAATTAAAAAAATAAAAAAAAGGTGGTTGTCCCACTGGCTATCATAAGTTGAATGCACCAATTTGTAAGTCGCTCTGTATAAGAGCGTCTGCTAAATGATGTAAATATAATCACTGAAAGCAGTGACACCCAGATAAATCAAAGAATTATGGAATGTACACTTAATGCAGCATAAATTCCCACCGGAATTTAAACGCCATACACTGCAGTACTGTATGCACTGCTTATATCACTTGGCTTGACCAATGTCCAAGAGCCCATTACAGAGTGAGGGGGAAATTAAAATAATGTAGGATGTACAGTATGTGAGAACCTTGGGAAATATTTTACCATAGGCATGTTTGGTCTTACAGAGATCTGAGACACTCCTCAACTTCCTCTCCTTACAGCTGCATTTCCCTGGAAGGAGCCATAGACAGAAAGTGTCAGCAGTACATTAATATGTTTACTCAAACCCATGGCGGCAAGCTTTAAGTAGTGTGGTGCATAACTCTAATGCTAGTGTGCATCATCATTCACCTGTGTAGTGCATAGCAGAGACTGCCAGTTCCTTTGACCACACTGCCTCACCCTCATTGGTCAAGGCATGGTCCATGTCAGGAATCTTGCCCCCCATAGGGACATTGAAAACCTGGTTATTTGCATAGCTGCTGAAGTGACAACGAGAATATGGAGGGAAGATGTTATTGTAGAGTGAAACTGGAAATAGGAAAGTAAGCCACATAAGAAATGTTGGATTTAGTAGAGAAAAATGGTCTTAGGGCTTACCTGTCAAGGCAGATTCCAGTGTGGGGGTCACAGTTTTGGGGACAAGCACAGGGTTTGCACCCCTCTTCCCCAAAGCCCCAGTACCCAGGGAGACAGTGGCTACAGCCTGTTCCCCCCACACCAGGTCTGCAGTGGCACTGTCCACTCCTCGGGTGGCACCATGGGCCCTCCTCCCCAGAGCTGGCTGGTAATGAGCCCAGTGGGTCACACCAACAACCTGTGAAAAAGAGTGAGAAAAAGACTTATCAAGACCATACACATTAATTTCTCCTTCGTCTCTTCTCGCTCTACCCCCACATACTGCTGTTACAAATCCACACCATTAGAGGGAGACAGATGTTTTAATATACACCCATGCCTGCAGTTTCAAGCACTGTTATACATTATGTATAACTGGAATTCACTGACATGTGGGACAACAATGAATGTACAACAGAGGAAATGTAGCATTCAGACATTATTCTATATTACTTTCACTTGTCCATAGGTTGTCCTGACTTACGTGTGCAGATGTGGGAGGAGCCAAGGGGCATGGCCGGGTGGCGGTGGTAACCATGGCGACAGCGTTGGCACCTGCGCCCTGCTGTATTGTGTTGGCATTCGTCACAGACGCCCCCACTGGTGGCCCCTGAGGACAGCCACTCCCTCTGGGAGAAGTGACAACTCTGCGCATGGCCGTGACACTCACACTCTGGAGCACAGGGAGACAACGATGGGATGGGAGAAAGGATGGAGGGGTTAGTAAGCTGGAAGGATAGGTTATGAGATGACACCCAATGGTAGGTTTGCCAACACTCCTGGTTTGGCTTGGAGTCTTGACCTCCCTGCAAGCAAAACTTTTCCAGGAGATTTTATTAATGTTTGAATGAAACGTAATAACTGAAATGTAAACAGTGTTGAAGTATTACTATAATCTCTCAACATGAGCTTGATTTAAGTTGGCAACCCAACACTGTCTGGCCAGTGACCCCTCTTAGTAGGGCACTCACTGTGGCACGGGTGTGGCTCCCCACTGCTGCCATTGGCTGCCCTCCAGGGACGGTCATTGTATAGCAGGGCACACCTCTCACAGTGTTCTCCTACTGTGTGGTGAGTGCATACACACCTGCCAGGCACCTGCAATAAACACGGCTATTTAACACAATAAAGGACAAGCTTAGATAATTAAGCATTTTTAAAGCACGCACACACACACACAGGCTGAGCAGGCCACACTCACCATGTCCTTCAGTGTGTCCTGTCCGCCACTGTGTAAACAGTGTTCTGAATGGCCATGACAGAGACACGTCCCTCGAGCCAGGAGAGTGTAAATGGAAAAGGGAGCTGAGGCAGGAGGCTCTGTGCTGGGCTGGGGGGAAGTGAGGGGGGGAAGATTCAGGTCCGCAGGAGGGTTGGAGAGTCCAATGGAGGAAGAAGAGGTGGAAGGTGCCAAAGATAATGGGCAGGTCTGGGCCTTGAGAAGTCTGAGGCGGAGGTTGGTGAGGGTCAGCTGGGAAAGGCCCTCCGGACTGTAGGGGTCAACTAATCCACCAGGGCCCAGAATCCGGAATATTACCTTTTGAGAAACATAAGGGTCTACTGTATACTGTTTGTCTACTGTGCTTTTAAAATGGTGTCTTACCCCACAGAGTAAATGAGACATTCTGTCCCCTTACCTCTCCCCTGCTGCACGGCTTAGCGCTGGAGTACCGGGACGTACACAGCGAGCCAGGCTGACCGGTGTCATCAGGAAGACCAAACGCCAGACTACAGTTCTGTGCAAACAGCTTGAGCGTCTCCCACGTCTGACCAAAGTCCTGCGAGCGCTCCATGGCCATGGCAGCGGGCCTGGGTGAGTGGAACTGCAGCACCACGTGGGTCAGACAGAAACGGGTCTCCAGGTCCAGACGGACCTCCTCCTCCTGGTCAGTGCCCACGCCTGAAGCCCACCAGGTGGCTGGGTGCAGGAAGGGATCATCCACCATGTGGGCAGGCGGGTGGAGGTCAACTGGACAGGGGTGGAGGGGAGTGGGGCATGTGGAGTGGTGGGACCCATTCCCACAGCAGCCTGAGAGGGTTGTGAGGGTCCTGCCACTGGCCAGGTTGCTCATGGGAGGACTGCAGGCATGGTCTACACACCTGGAGGCTGAAGATGGGGTGGATGGAGAGAGTTAATGCAGAATAAATATAAAATAAGAGATCTCGTAACTGCATATTGAAGGCTATTTTCCCATGGGGAGGGTGTCAATGCACTGTGTCCAGCAGGAAAGGAAGCAATGTGCAGCAGATGCATCTCAGGTTGCATCATCCACGGTAACCCAATAATATTAGAGTAAATCAGGTAAATTAGATTTAGGCGGTGGTAGATTGATGAGGGCAGCATTTTCCGACCTACACCTCCAACAACACATAGCACCTCACATAATTCTGCCCCAAAACAATGAAAACTTCTCTCACCCAGTGGCATATAGGCTATTGAGGAGAGCGCTGATGCTGCCCCATGATAAGCAGTGCCCACTTTGCCAAACTCGGGCACACAATATATAGCTTGTCCTTGCCCAGCGTGCCTCTCCATGGTGCTGTTGGAGAGACGCGGTGCTGTTGGAGAGACGCAGCACTGTAGCGCTCCACCAATGCTCTGTCAAAGTCATCGAACATAAGTCATGTAGCCTATACAGTATAAACAGTATATAGCCTCTGTGGGCGACCAAATTTATGACAATGTCATGAAACATACTTTTTACATAATGCATGTTTCCAAACAAATAGCCTAAATGGCGCACTATTAAATAAAAATGCGCTTGGATGTGAATATTAATTAACATGTTAACAAACACACCACATCCTAAAAACAGGACAGGTCAAAGTAAAATGGACAATAGCCTATTGAATGGAATTAGGCTACTCAAGACTACTGTCAGGGAGTTTCACTCAGTGGGCTAAATTGTCATGCTAATGAGCAATTTCAAGTTTTTAGGCATATTCATCAATTTCTGAGCTGATGATTGCTAAGAAGAAAATATGAACTGCATTTTACAAGATAATGCCATGCCTAAAAACTTGGGTATCTGACATAATGAGTTTCAAGTTTGGGGAAGCTTACAATTGATCCTACCATTTCTACCGATCTGCATGCCAGTTTTCGTGGAAATTATTAATTTAAATAATAACGTTTTCGTTAATCAAAATCATTGTCACGTGGTTATTAATACAAATCTGAATTAAAATGATACAAATATATCAAGTTAAAATTAAACTAATGCAAGAGCACCAGCCTCTGCCATATAGACACATTGATATAGTGCTCTCTGCCATATAGACACATTGATATAGTGCTCTCTGCCATATGGACACTGATAAACTGTGAGCCATTGGTGGCTAAAGAAATGAGCGCATGGAACTCAGAGATAGTTTAGGCCTATAGGCCAATGCAGCAGGCCTATAACTTCCATTGTCAACTAAGTAAAAATACATAAAGCCGACAAATAAAAACATTAGAAAATATCATGATGAAAATGCAGGTTCTTGCAATCGCATTTATCTCTCTACTTCGCCTCTCTGCCTTCCTTTTTATTTGTCTTGAACTATCTATTGAATTGCAACATTGTACCAAATCAATCAACTGGGTCAGGCCGGAAGCTATAGCTATAACAAACTTGCAACATTGTATCAACTAGCCTACTCCCGGGGCCTCAGAGTTTACTGTGCACGTGAGCTCTAGACAGACACAGCTGTTTTTTGCTTGAGGGAAAACTGTACAGGTACTTTTTTGCTCTTTCACACCGAGGCTTGTTGATTATTCAGGGGGAGAGTGTTGGAAAGATTTGTCAAATTTGAGGAACTATTATTCGCAATGGATATTTAAAAAAATGACTTTGTTGACTTAGGTTACAGTGTGAGGTGAAGAAAAAATGACTGAGAAGCTCAGCTTATTAGTGGTTGTGAGTTAAGACAATCAGAAATCAGACCCCAAAAAAATCTCGCCTAGAGTAGCATATCGGTCAGGATCGGGCCTGGGTGATAAGCTACTGCGCTATCAGTTATCGATAACTAGTTTTAACCTTTGCCATTCATAACTGTAAAGAGAACAAGGCAGATAACGGAACCGTCAGCTGGTGGCACGCACTGTGTGCCCAATTCATCCCACAATGGAATTTATTATGATACATTCTATCCACTGCGTCGTCGCCATAATACCGCCGAATATAGGCGTAGCCAACGTAAGTATTAGGCCTATATTATGGGAAAAAGTCAAATCGAAAAATGGGGAAATAACATAGGCCTATTAGGCTATTATTCATAAGAGTCATAAAATAGCCTATGCATGGTGATCTTGAATTCCAGATATAGCCTATATTCTGGCAAGTAGGTCGATAGCCTATTGTCGCATATTGTCATATCAAATTAATTTCAAGATGATGGCCACTCACCTGTCCCACTTTGCATGAGCGCTAAAATTAAAGCGCAGTTAATCACCAGCATCTCAAATCGAAGACGACCTGTAAGTGGTTTCACAGGCGTTCAGAATCCCGCTGGATGAATTATTACCAATCCAATGACAACAAAACTGCCCACAGTCAAATAGTCTAATTATTCTCGCCAGTAGTGCAGATGCGCCTCAGTATCACGTTTTTGTTTATAAAAATGAGCGCATTCCAATGAGATGAAATCCTATCGAGCCGCAGTTTGAGTCAGCCAAATGTTTTGTCTGACATCTTGTCATTAATAATGATGGGGGAAATGATTGTATTCGCATTCAGACGTTTAGCATTAACAATTAGCATTAATCAATGACAAAGTGTTCTGTGCGCGGTTGGTCCTTGTCGCACAGATCTCATCTAGGGACATAGACAGGCATGCCCAGTCATGAGCTATTACAATAATTTCCATTCCAGCGTGGATGCCCTCATGTCAACAACGATACCAGCTCATGTTATTGCTACAGCTCTACACTCCATGCAGGACCCTATGTGTGTAGCCTATGCCGAAGCCGCCTACGGTCAAGTGTTGTCTTGAGTGAGAGTTTAAATGGGCTCACACCCGCCCTGAGATTGGTAGGCATTTACCCATGACCGTTCTCCTAGCAGCAGGATATTATGCTGGCAGCACGATCGCGGATTGTTTTTGTTTATTTCAGAATAAGATTCCCCCTGCAAAGACATGCTAAAGTTTGGGAATATTTTTCACAGCATTGCTAACAACTTTTAAAAATAAAAAATTTGACATTTTTAATATTGTATTATTCATACCATTTCTTTTGAAAGTTTACACAAACACTGATATGTTGAAAGCTATTGTGTAGGTCAAATACAAATATATGTTATTGGAATAACTCAATAGAGTCTGCAAAACATAAATTGGTCTCTTGTGCTGGGTAATGGTTTTAATACAAAGTGCTGGTGAGCCCTTACTCCACCCACTCCATTCACTGCAATGCAATTCACTGTACATGGGATACATATTGGCTTGCAGAGGGAACGTTTTTACCTGTCTCGGCTAAAGTGGGGTGGGTCATACTCAATAGGTTCTCTACTAACCAAATATGTTTCGTTTTGGAGGGGTCTGTGTAGTACATATCCACCTACTCCATAGCCCCCAATGCAATACATGTCAGGTAGTAGTTTAACCGATAAGGAATATGTACACACTAAATTATTGTGAAGATGACTCCAAAACACAAATGTAGAACCATTGATAAGCAAGGAAACACTTGAGTCTAATGATCCTGAGGATGATGTAGATAAACAGCCAATAATCCAAATAAGCAAGGACACACTCCAGTGTGGCATTTATTTTGAAGGTTTCGTCATTACCATACAAACGTGACATCATCATTTGTGCTGCTGGCAGAATAATAGTAATTTACCCAACCCCTTTTACACACATGTAGAGACCCTGTTCTCTTCATCCAAGAGAACATGGCAACCTGGATTCAGGGGTAGATGTAACACAGTAAATGTAAATCTGTTTCCCTCCACTTAGTATGATATGTTACGTTCTGTATAGTATGTATTAATTTGTGGATGTCCATCATCCATTTCGTATGATATGTTATGAATTGCAATTCCTACAATATGTTACGAATTTGCAAAGCTTATGATATATTATGAATTCCCATTTGTTGTGGCTAATGTTAGCTAGGTGGCTAGCGTTAGCTAGGCTAGGGGTTAGGGTTAGGGTTAGTTAGGGGAAAGGTTAGCTAACATCCTAAGTAGTTGCAAAGTAGCTAAAAAGTAGTAAGTAGTTGTAAAGTTGCTAAAATTGTCTGATGAGATTCGAATACACAACCTTTGGGTTGCTAGACATTTGTGTTATACGCCCACCCATCCACCTTGACCATCCACCCTACTTTTGTTTTTGCTTTAAGTAACCTTCTGTCTCATGTAACTATACCAAACATACCATATCATACTAATTAGTATCTCAAATTTAGATTTAAAATGTTACGTCTAGTCTATGAGACCAGGCTGTGCAATAACATTTTAAAATGACCAAAATTACCCTGCATGGGATAGGCTTTTTTTCAGCCTGGCAGCACACAGACTGAATCCCAGACTCATCCACGAGGATTCCGTAAATGAGCGTGAGTAGAGTGTGTGAGGTAGTCTTATTTGCAAGGGCTCATGAACATGGTTAATGTGAACCAGCCGCATAGCACATACCAGCTAGCTCCATTACAGCACACAAACCAGGGCCTCCTTAATGGCAGGGTAGGAAATTCGTTTATCTACTTTTTCCTCCTGTTTTTTTCAGCCACAGTAATTCCTTATTACAGTTCTCTTTGATGCCCAGTTTGAAGGAACCTGAACCACTGACGAAAATAACCCAAGGGCACTCAATTCTTATGGCTTGATAGCTCATTGTCACACTATGATATACTGCACCATTCAATGTGAGCAGAACGAACCCAGATGACTCGGTGGCACGCAACGCGTACAAGGCAAGCAGGTACAAACTCCGCAAAACATTAGGATTCGACAACTCAGACTCGCGACGCATGTGGAAAGGACTACAGACTATCACAGACTACAAAGGCAAATCCAGCTCTGTGATGGCCACCAAAGCCTCCCTCCCAGACGAGCTTAACATATTCTATGCTTGCTTCGAGGCAGACAATACCGAGTCATCCAGGAAGTCTCTTGCTACTCCGGACGACCAGGTGCTTTCGCTCTCTGAGGCTGAAGTGAGGAAAACTCTTAAAAGAGTGAATACTCACAAAGCTGCCGGCCCAGATGGCATCCCTGTCCGCGTCCTCAGAGCATATGCTGACCAGCTAGCAGGCGTCTTTTCGGACATCTTCAACCTGTCCCTGTCCCAGGGTTTGTCCCCACTTGCTTCAAGGAGCCCACCATCATCCCAGTGCCCAAGAAAACAAGGTGACATGCCCAAATGACTATTGCCCCGTCGCACTCACACCGGTCATCATGAAGGGCTTCAAGAGGCTGGTCATGGCCCACATTAAGGCCAGCATGCCAGGCACATTGGACCCACTCCAATTTTCCTACCGCTCCAACAAATCCACGGAAGATGCAATTTCCATCGCTACTCACACAGCCATAACACATCTGGACAAAAGGAACACCTATATGAGAATGCTGTTCATTGACTACAGCTCAGCATTCAACACTATTGTTCCCTCCAAGCTTGACACTAAGCTCAGCAACTGGATCGACTTCCTGATGGGCAGACCACAGGCTCTGAGGATTGGCAACAACACCACCTCCACACTGACTCTTAACACAGGGGCCTCCCAGGGCTGTGTCCTCAGGGCCACCCTGGGGTCCTCTCCAAATACTACCACTGCACCATCGAGAGCGTCCAGACCGGACGATCACAGCCTGGTACGGGGATTGCTCCGCCCTCCAGCGGGTGGTGAAGAAAGCCCAGTACATCACTAGGATCATGCACCCACCCAGCCAGGAAATCTACTCGAAACAGTGCCTGAGGAAGGCCCGCAGCATCATCAAGGACCCCACACACCCCAGCCACGAGCAGTTCACTCCCTTACCGTTGGACAGATGGTATCGGAGCATGAGGTCTGATACCAATAGGCTCAGGGACAGTTTCTATGAACAAGCCATTAGACTGCTGAACACTTGAACTGGACTGACCACCTGCTCTGACTCTCCGCACACATGCACTCACTCACATACACACCCACACAGACATCCAATCATCCACACACACACATACAGTATATACATTCATGCTACACACACATCACAACTGCTGCTACCAGACTCTTATTATTATTGATAAATATTGCACAATTTAAACACCCCCACCCCCCAATCCCCCTTCTCCAAAACACTTGTAAATATTGGACTAAAAATTGTCCCATTCTGTATTATATTATATTTATTCTATTCCACTGAGCCATTTACTTTATGTTCATATTCAATCTTTTATTATTTCTTAAGCATTTTGTTAGACGATGTGTACATTTACATTACATTTTACATTTTAGTCATTTAGCAGATGCTCTTATCCAGAGCGACTTACAGTTAGTGAATACATATTTTTTTTTTTTATACTGGCCCCCCGTGGGAATCGAACCCACAACCCTGGCGTTGCAAACGCCATGCTCTATCAACTGAGCTACATCCCTGCCGGCATACTGCCAAATTCTCTAAAACGACGTTGAGGCGGCTTATGGTAGAAAAAGTAAAATTCAATTCTCTGGCAACAGCTCTGGTGGATATTCCTGCTATCAGCATGCCAATTACACGCTCCCTCAAAACATAAGACATCTACTCCGACCGCAAGGCACTACAGAGGGTAGTGCGTACGGCCCAGTACATCACTGGGGCAAAGCTTCCTGCCATCCAGGACCTCTATACCAGGCGGTGTCAGAGGAAGGCCCTCAAAATTGTCAAAGACTCCAGCCACACGGCAAGCGGTACCGGAGTCCCAAGTCTAGGTCCAAAAGACTTCTCAACAGCTTCTACCCCCAAGCCATAAGACTCCTGAACAGCTAATCATGGCTACCCGGACTATTTGCACTGCCCCCCCCCCACCCCATCCTTTTTATGCTGCTGCTACTCTGTTAAGTATGTATGCATAGTCACTTTAACTCTACCCACATGTACATATTACCTCAACTACCTCAACTAGCCGGTGCCCCCGCACATTGACTCTGCAACGGTACCCCCCTGTATATATAGCCTCCCTACTGTCACTTTATTTTACTTCTGCTCTTTTTTTTCTCAACACTTTTTTTGTTGTTGTTTTATTTTTACTTTTTTTGTTTAAAATAAAGGCACTGTTGGTTAAGGGCTGTAAGTAAGCATTTCACTGTAATGTCTGCACCTGTTGAATTCGGCGCATGTGACCAATAAAAATTGATTTGATTTGATCTACCCTGGACGACGACGCTGGGCCAATTGTGCACCGCCCATGAGTCTCCCGGTTGCGGCCGGCTGCGACAGAGCCTGGATTCGAACCAGGATCTCTAGTGGTACAGTTAGCACTGCGAAGCAGTG